AGATAATATTCACAATTTCTGTTGTTTCATATTCATGTTTGCTGTTTCAGTAACGGAATTATTTTTCAAATTAAAACTAACTAAGTTTATGTATCTATAATAATAATTATATTTTTTTAGCGAAAAACATAAAATGTACAAAAGAAATAAATAAAATTGAAAACTAAATAAATTATTAAAATTATGATATGATTCTTTCAGTTCTTATTCTTTCTTTCAATAAACTAAAATTGAATAAATACAATTTAATCTGGAAAAAACGATTTTTTTTGTATAATTTTAACATTACTGAGATCGACAAAAAGAAAAACATTTGTAATGACAATTATTTTTAAATTATATCTTACTTTGAGTTGGGTCGAACCAATGCTATTCATATTGGATCTCTGGCAAAGCCACATGACTACGTGGGTCTCCCTTTTCTTTATTCTATTGTTTTACGAATACTATATTTCACAATGTTAAAATAGCCTGTCTTCTTTAGACCTTTATAAAACATATGACTGGAGAGTTTTCATATAATAACGTTGTCTGAATTATATATTACTTCTATGATATATGTTTGTATATTTTTTCTAATAATATTAATAAAATAAAAATCAATTAAAACGAATCATCAATAAAAACATTTAGTACAACTAACCGTTGTATGAAACCGCAAACATTAATGGAACATCGCTGGATTCGTGAAAATGCACAATAAATTTAATTTAATGAATGATTCATTAAAACTAATTGTTTTTAAATTAAAGTAAAAAAAAATATTTTATACAATTTTTACTTTTGTTTTCAAATTCATCGTAATTTAAGAAAAAAAGAAGGACAGAATAGATATTCAGCAAACGCCGGTTTTTATACGCGAAGTGATTTAGGTGACGGTTTTCGGAACGGTTTCTTGCGGAGCAAGAGGGTGCAAAAAAATATGCAAATGTGTTTGCACAAAGCTCGTTGTGCCGGAAAGACGGGATTTGGCAAGGTGTAATTGTAGGCTATGAAGACGCGCTGGAGGGTGTTAGACCGGGTGATGTATTACTATGGAATCCGCCACGACCCTCATCCCTAAAGTCGTTGTACCTTCGGATTAAGTCGGACACGTTTACGTATCCCATGAGGCTCATATGTACACGTACCTCAAATTGAACAATTAAGGTGACATTGACATTAATGCTATTTCTATACACGTTAATTTCTATTCATTTATTTTCAAACAAATAAAACTAAATATAATAGTTCTATGTATTAAATAAAACTACTTAATTATAATAATCTTAGGATTTATAAGATAAAGTTTAAATTGTAATGTGTATGTATTACCAATAGTACATAAGAATAATAAGAATAACATTTATAATAGTAAACGAATACTGAAAACTTATACAAATGAATGTAAAACTATTGCTAATTGAAAAATAAATATTAAAGGAAACATTTTTATGTAATGTAATATAAATATTGATAATATGTTAATGCATCAATGGAAATTGATAGTGCGGTAGTCATCAAGAAATGATTTGGGATTGTCCGTTTTCAGCATGATATATTGCACGACATTGCCGTCTGACGACCAGGCATGTGCCATATCAAATTTGCATCAGCTTCACGCAGTCACCAGGTCGGTCCTACATCCTACATCCATTCCATTTCAGTCGAATCCGGACAGAAGGCATCCAGAACAATTTACAGATAGACGGAGAACTTCACGTACCTCAATAAAGCGCACACCGAGACCGGATATTACGTAAGGTTTGCCCATCGTTCTCCTTCCGTCCCTAAATAGATTCGCATGTCCCACATGCAAACATAAAAATGGAATAATTTACACTATTTCTATTTATATATATACTATTTATACATATGGCACATTGAAATATTAATGCAATTTAGACTTGAGAAACCAGAAAATTATATAATATACACTTAAAATTAATAAAATCTTAATAGCACCAAAAATCTATAGACCTTAGTTTTTCAACCGTATACATAAATAAATAATAAATATTTATACAATATTCCAATTATAATAAGGAATAAAACAATTAATTAATTTGTTTGATAAAATTCATTTTAAAATAGTTTGCAGTATTCATTTTATCCATTGCAGCTTCTCTAATTAATTATGTATATAAATATCATATATTTTATATTGACTATTGCAAAAGTAATTTAAAACTTTATTTGTTTGGATTTATGATCTGTTTAGCTTCGATAACTGTTTTTTTTTATATGTTATCCTTGTTGTTTTTTTTTTATTGTATGTTGTCCATGCTCTAAATAACAAATCCTAGTAAATAGATTCAACGGTTCAATCAATACCAACAAACGGATTACAATTAATTAGTGGAAATCTGTCCGGTCAGCAAGCGGATACATTGAGACCCACTAGTTGGAATTCATAGAACACTAGACCGGTGTTTAATTAAATTATATAAGTGGACGGAAAGGCTTTGCATCCCGGACAGAAGGATCAGGCTTTTAACTACGGCTGCGAAACGCGTCCTATTCAAAACCTCTACGAATTAAAATTTAAAAAAAAAACGACATTCAAACCAACTATTTACACTTTTAATTAATCTTTCCTCGCTCGTACTACGCACATTAATTTTACTTTACGCTATGTATACCTTTGATGATTTACATTCCATTTTTTTTCTCTAAACTTGTGTTTTCATTCCCTTCTTCAAGCTGCATTCATTTGAAGATATTTGTGAATTTATTTTTCTAATATCTCTTAATGACTCTAATTGATTCAATATAATATTAAAAAAAAAACAACATAGGCAATATAAATTGTTGTTAACAGCTAATATTTTTAAGAATTATTTTAAGTATTTATCTGTTATATACCAATTAAAAATAAATAAATAATGTGTTAAAATCAGTATTAATTAATAAGAACCGAAACATAGTCATAAGTCAGCAAAGTCAGTTCTACGTTATAATCCAGAGACTGAGAGCCCCTGACATCTGGTAAGTTTAAATCCACGGATGCGACCACGTACATCCTAGTGCGGTCTTCTCATTAATCATGCCATTCAGTGGCTGAGGAGATTTACTTCGAAGGAAGCAATTTAGGAAATAACTAATGATTTATGTTTATTCGTATAATAGGGGTGTACGGCCTAGACTTGATGGGTATTTGTTGGGGGGTCAACTTGAAGACGAGACCCAAAGTGAAATTGGCGCGTGGGTCTCGGGCAAAAAGCGCGAGAACAAAATGAAATATGTATTAGCGATTTGCATATATTTTAAATAACAAATTCGGCCCAGCTTTTCGTGGATGGCAACGGCAACGGGGTGGGCTGCAAGAAAATTTACCGTCTCCCGCATTAGATTTATGCCCATTTCTGTGTATCGCACGCGCCCCCCATTTGTATACAAAAGTCCCTCCCTTAGTTGTCCCGTTGCGAGTGGAACAACCTTCCACGAAGAGGAAAGGCCCACCCATCCACAGGATATCTTCGCTACGAATATTTAACACCGAAATATTCCATGCGACATTCAATTTATTAAGGGTTGCCAGACGTTTAATAATAAGGCACGAGATAAAATTTCGCGGCAATAAGTTTCGTAATTAAGATCCACAGTCTTGCGTGGGATGGAGGTTACTACCCCTAAATGCGATAAGGCTATGTCTGAACGTGCCTTGCCACATAATTTAAGTGTTAAAATTTGCGTCTAATATGTATATTACATAAATCGGTTTAAAATTACCAATAATTATGTACCCAATCAACTCGAGATTACGTGACAATTATCAAATACTTATTTTTCGGAACATTAGACGTACGTTTTTAAGTAAAAAATCGATTTAGATTCATTCCAATAACTAAAGAAAAGTGGTTTTATTCAAAGAAATTCTAAAAAAAAACTAGTGTACAAAATTTATTTAATTTTATGCATTTAGTCCTTTAATGTTAATATTAATAATGTTCATATCGAATTAAGAAAAATCTTAAGAGATTGTAAAGGTAAAAAATATAGCACAAATTGCAATAAATATATCTATTTTATTTAATTATAATCAAAAACTCTTTAGCAGTCGATATCCGTTTTTTAAACATTTCTAAAACGTTCGATCAAACAAAGCAATGTGTTTCCAGGATATTTCTTTATTCCGCGTTTCTTTTTATTCCGCGTTCGTTTCCTTTTTTGCTCGATAGCCGAAGGTAATTTCATTTCCTGCCAAAATGCCAACGGATATCGACTGTGGCGCGACATTTTTCGTTCCGCCCTCTAAACTCGTTACGATTTTCAACCTCCAAATATAAGAAAAGAGGAATCCAATAAAACATGTCTCCTTCGTTTCATATAAAATACTATTACATTGCATTTTCAACTGTAGAAATCCATAACAAAATAATAGTTTGCTTTATAGAATATTTGATTACGTAAGGTGCCGATCAATAAGAACGCCGGATTTAGTTTCTGAATTAAATTCGAAAAGTGATAATATTTTGACTTCGTCGTAAAGTATAAATTTACAAATGGTTTAAGTCAGCATTCAATAATTAAAAGCGCCAAATTTAAATCTGGTGTTTTATAATATTTTATAATGTTAAATCCATGTATAATTAAAATTTAAAAGTTTGAGATTAAAAATCTACTATAACAAACGAAAATTGTTAATGTATAATTTGTATTAATATATAATCTAAATTACTTTTACAAAATGTAAAGTATTAAATCGATACTTCAATGATTTGTTTTATTATTTTTTCATTATAACTTTAAGTTTATCCCCGTATCCAGTATATGTACTTATTGGGTCTGCGATCTAATCCCGAACACAATATATTATTAACACATCAATTAACGGATTACGTTCGCGCAAACAAAGGATGCGAAATAATCAAAAAGAAAAGTTTTAATTAGGTTTAAATGGCAAACGCGATAAATAAACCTAGGAAAGAGTCGAAACAAAGTGGGTATAAAAAATGAAACGAATCTGAGGGAGGCAAAGAAACAAAAGGCTGAAAGTTAATTGTAAATAATAGACTTACCATTAGCGCTGAGGACGGTATATCGTAGCATTAATCTGCCGGATCCCCATCTCTGTAAGATTTCCAAAGGATGATCCGTTTCCCTTAATGGGCATTCTGAAAATGAACAAAAAGAAGTAGTTAACAACAACGTCTAGTACTAGATTAGAATTGTTAAGGGAAATCATTTATGCGAGGAAGAGCCTTTTTGTTAATTAATTAGTTCAATAGTTTAATTTATGTTATTAAAGAAGCTAAACAAGTTTATGCAAATAAGCAATGATTCTGAAACAGAACTTCTGACCTGGCTATACTCCATACGACACCTATACGATTATTTAGGAATATATAGCTTTATGTGTTACATAAATTTGTTTGTAGTGGAAAACAAAACTATATACTACAAACAATAGCAAGGTTATAACATAATGAATTTACAAAATTTGTTTAATTTCGAGTATGTAAATATAATAAAGAAATTTCCATATTATGGGAAAGTCCTTGAAAACTTGTAAAATACTAATACTTTAAGATTAAAATGAATATCAAAAAATAATTTAATATAAAGTATACTGGCATTACCGCTTTTTAGTGATAAATCCTTGCGAATTGGATCGCTCAGTTTGGTGGTTCCTGATGTAACCAGCATCATATTGCATCTAGAGGAAATCTGCGCGATAGTGAAAAGCCGTACCGATCTGGAAATATATTTCGCAACCTCGAAGTAGATAGGACACTTCTTAGTACCGAGTATGTCGACGACTAATAAATTTTCCGTTTTTAACCGCACGCACGAGCAGTACAATCAATACAACACAAATAATAAATTTATAACAATTCCCTAAACGATGCGACCAGCGGTGTAGTAACAGCGCCAATGACAAACTAGCACGTACATACGATGGTGATACACATGATACCAAAGTAGGCACCAAGCCTAGGGGGTTTGGGTGCGGTGGTAGGCGACTATAGTGAACAACTACGATGGTATCGAAATAGGTACAATTGCTATCGATCGTCGGTTTTCCTGTAATTTCTGTTACCACAGCGGCTTCTTCTATCTGCTCTAATATCCATAATCAAACCCCCAAACCCCCACCGACGATTGCTTCAGACGCCATTTTACTTTATCGGAATATCGATTTTTTTCCCGACCTTAAATATTTAACTCCATACAAATTTTATATCAGAAATCAATTTTCTTTCCCTTCCACCAATCACATCAATTATTTTATACAAAGAAAGTCAAATTACCCAATTTATTTTTTATGCTCTATAACAAATTAGAAAAGAAAAGGCTATTGAAAATTAGAAGGTTATTTCTACTGTGAAAAAATAAATGTAATTATTAATGTATTCAATGTTATGATGGATCTTTACAGATAAAATATATTTTTAATCAAGAAATATTGCATAAGCTTGCAATATGTGAGCACGCTTTGCACATACGTTTTTTTCCCCTCTCGCTCTGAAAGTATTATGGAAATTCAATATAATAATACAACCATATATCCTACTGTAAAAACGCTTTATCCGGCCGCTTCCCTTTTTATTATCCCGTACCAAGCCACCAGATACATATAACATTTGATAGCTGTATCACGGCGCACGCAAACATAACAGTATGTACCAATATCTAGAATCCTAACAATATATATGTTTTATATATTCTATATAGAACGTAATATCAGTGTAAAATAATGTAATTTAGTAATAATATAAATTGATAGCTAGTACGTATACCAATATTTTTTCATTACAAGAATATACAACGTTATCAATTAATAATATAATTTTAACTTTCTCTTTCTTTTCCAAAATAGCTTGAAATGGGATGAATGAAAATGTAATAGAAATATTAAAAACTATAAAATACATAAATAATCGATTTTCCAATGGTTTGGTCATTGATTTATTATGTTAGTCAAGGAAGTGAAAAGAACTTTTATGGAAGATATAGGCTAACCTCCCATGAATATTGAATCTTGGTCAGCAAATAGACCATTTTATAGACTATTAAACATCCGACTCGGCAGTCGTTCATTGCCAAAATTGTAACCTATCTACTTCCCTAGGGGACGAGTATTAAGATTTACTGTCGAACTCTTAAAGACTACTACTATCGGCTTCGTAATATGACCCAAGAATCGATTGATTCGTTTTTTATTAAATTGAATTTCAGATTACGAATTTTTATTCCACTTTTCTTATATTATTATAAGCTTTATTTATTATAAATTGAATACTGCATACATGTTGCATATTGTTTCATAACATTCACATTTCTATTGGGTCATCACTGTCATTACTAAATTATTAATTAATACTAAATTTTTAATGGTTCAAAGAATATAAATAACATCTTTGTTGACCTGGCAAAAGGGCTTTAACATTTATGTTAACATCAATGACATTTTAAATGAATACAATTCAAACGATAAAAAGGTATGACCTAAACAAATTAATGCATTTATAGCTATATTATCAATAGGAATAGGAATGAATATTTTGATTTTTTTTAAAACAAATTTTCATGGAAAGGGTAAATAATATTCAATCTATTTAGGATTTAATTAAAAGTGTGCAGAGGGTGATTTGGATAATACATTTTGTGATGATGCTAAACTTTTGAATACGGCTTTTCACAACAGGGTTTTGGTATTGAGAAATGAGGAAACCCTTCAAGGATTCACATATTATACGGCATATGGATTTATGGATATATGGTCATGATTCATTATGGAAATGTCAGAATTGCGGAATGTTAAGGATCAGAAAATATTATTTATTTTATATTTGAATACTTCATTGGTCAAATATACAAAATGCCTAGTCAATATGTAAAATGTCAAAAACTACCTTGTCTGTATGTATGTATTATTGTCATACCTTCATCAAGTATAGTTTTCACTGTTTAATCTACTAATTTAATTGATTTCAGGTTTCCTCTAATATTAAATTACGTCTTTTAAACAAAGCTATCGAAAGTCACACAATTGAATTGTTCAACTTTCATGTCACCTATGAAGAATCTGAAGGACAAGGACATTCTCCACGGATCCATTGCGGCTCGAAGATTTTAATTAAATGCGAAATTAATGGGGTAAGCCACCATTTGTTTCCCCTCAGACGAATCCAATTTTATTCGTCGCGGTTCTCGTCGGGCAAACTGAACGGCATAAATGCAAAGCCACAAAGAGAAATTACAGAATCAGATGTAACGAAACACTCGTTGCCTTCGACGTTAATTATGTACGCAGATGCAGACAGATGCGGTCGCATTGTAAATGAAGATATCAGTTATTAGCAGCGTCTTTAAACTAAAAGGGTTTACTATTAACTTCGTCAAGTTTTACCACTCCGCATCATCCTTTACTAAGACTGGATATAACGAATGCACGATCTTGAATTTATACAAATTATTCAAGCGTAATGAATTATAATTCCACTCTGACTATATTATTTAATCGTCAATTCCACCAAGTGAAATTACATGAATTTCAATTATTTTAAAAGAGAATTACATTTACATGTAGATGATAAAGTTAGTATGTGAACAAATATATTTTTATTTTTTTTCAACGCATTTATTATTTAACTATAAATTCAACAAATTAATAAATAGATGAATTAATAATTAATGATCACAACAATATAAGTTGAATAAACTGAAGTAGAAAGTTGCAAATAATTAAAATATTAATATACAAACTTCAAGTATTTACTTCAAAACTACACTAAATATACTTAATAATATTAAACCAGGCGCCTCCACCGATGCAACTGTTTACAAGAAATAGACAATTTATGTGTTGCAAAACATGCTTTAATTAAATACATGATTATGATATTTAGAAGATCACAATTGCTTTGTTTTATTAAGAATCTATTTCTTTTAATTACCTTCAACACCTTTTCAACAAACATTTCTCTCTCACCCTCGAAGAACACTCGCGATAATAGTTCACTTCACCAATCAAATCAAATTGAAATAATAAATTTTGTTTCATACGTCAAAGGTTACGCAGTATTATGATATAATAATAACAGAAATATATTTTTCTTTTTGGTTGGTAATTATATTTATTGACAAATATTAAATAAAATAAATTAACTGTCAAATTATTACAAATCAGCTGTTTTCCATTTATGAAATTAAAAAATAATATATATGGATTCAGGTAAACATTGACACAATTATTAAGTTAACATACAAATATAATTAAAAACACAATTCTATACAAATTTATTTATAATTGTGTATGTAATTTGTTGCAGTATTTTACTTTTTATTTCTTCCATGGTTCGCTATGTATTATGTACTTATGACGTACTGCATCCCATATGTAGTCAAATTTAAATTTATAGTGTAACTAGATTTACCGGAAGCTAATAAATTTGTCAAATAAAACATTTTCAAAATGACAGCTGATTGTCATACGTTAGATTCATCAGTAAATGTAGAAAGCCAATGCTTATAGCTTTTATTTCTATTGTTTTCTTTGTTAAATATTGAACTTTTATCATATTTTATATAATACATAATGACTGTATAGTAAAATCATAACACTTAATAAAAGATCAAACAGTGATAAAACAAAATAAATCAACAAAAAAAAATGAAATCAACTAACAAATTAAATACGTACTTGATTCTGAATAATTACACAATTCAGATAATTAGCGGTGAACACAATTATTCAGCTAATTGCATGCGTTTCCCTTTTACAAAATCAAAACCAAATGATTTTCGCCGCTCGGATCCGATATTAATAAATGGGAATTCCATTTTCTCTAACACTGACGAATTTACATTTGAATTGGATCAAGTTTTTTAATTATTCCAAACGCTACGCACCAACTCCTTCCACTCCGCCTAAAACAAAGAGACCACCCTTTCCATTCCGACGAGTTAAAACTCAGAAAGTGAAATTAACATTCCGCAACAAGGATGTTTTATAGGATTTTCCGTATATTTTTTTTCTCATCTTTTTTTTTTGTTGTCGTTGTTATGAAAGCGCCTTTATGTTTTATATAATCATCATAACAAAGGTTTTTTTTAATTAAAGAAAACATTGATTATACGCATAATTGTGGGTATTTTCAAATGCCAAATAGAATCGTGAAATTAGAATGTTAATTATAATTACATCAAAATAAAACAGATTTAATAATTAGTTTTGATAGAGAAATTATAATTCTTTATTTCACTTTTAATTGAAGAACGTTAGTTCTTGCTAGTTTTTCGCAATAAAAGTAGCATTAAATTAGTTTTAGCTATAATTAGAAAATAAATTGATTTTTAAATAATGGCTTAATTGTGAGCTTGTGTTTAGGGCTTATTTGTAGTACACACGCGTTGCCGGGTGGTTTTTAGGGTGCAACGGGGCGGGTGGGGACTTTTAAACAAACAACCAGATTAATAAATTATTGGGGGTCGGAAAGGGAAGGCATTGCTGCTGCGCCAACAACATGTTCAAATAACATTAAATAATTAATGCATGTATTTTGCGACGTATTTAGGAATAATCATGGACTATAATCTAACACTAATACATTTTCCATGCTCGCCTGAAATGCAATTAATCTACATAAATTCAAATAATACACAATGCAATCAATACACAAGGAAGAAAATCAAATTATTTAGATAGATACAAAATCATCTCACATACTCATATAGTCTATAAATATTACTGAAATATTTTATAATATCAAAATTATTGATTATTTTTTGTCATTTGATACTTTAACTAGTTATTTTATATACAAAACGATTGTAAATAGAGGAATTAAAAAAAAAATATCAAAAAATCAATACATATACGGATTTTATATGTAATATAAATAAATTAGTATTATTCAGAAATCAATTTGTATGTGATGAAATCAACTGAATAAACAAAACACAGAAACGTCAATATTTCTAATTATACTGAATGTTTCATCTGTAAATTGCGGTATAATTCTGCATGCGGTGAAATAATACCAAATGCAAAGTTTTGTGATTTTCATTAACTCGGCTACCGGTAATGTGCAGTGATGAAACTACGAATGGGATTTTCCGGTTGTTGACGCAACCGAACGGAAACCGAGCTAATTATTCCGCATTTCGATTAGACAAGCGATTATCCTGCTCTTTCGTGAATGCTGTAAAGCTACGTCATTGTGGCCTCACGTGTGGTCACGATTTAATTGTCACGATGGGGATACGGGAGTTATTGACACGCAATTTTCTGATAATGATTTTGTGTATTGGTATTGTATAGTGCACATCTGCTACATTTCTGTTAACGGGTGGTAGGAAGAAGTAGAAGATGTTTGTGTTTTCACAAAAGCCTGTTGTGGCTACTCCGTAGACATTATCTCGCCTTGAAATATATGTGTTTGAGTATGAGGAAATAAAATGGGGAAAACATCTGGGTTGGACTCGGGGTGGAAGAAAAGTGGTTGAAAAACGAGGAAGGACGGGACGGCTCGTATTACATTACTACTTGCAAGAATGTTCCTCGCTTATATAAAGACGAAAAATTCATCTTCATAACATGAAACATTTTGTGTAGTAAGTTACATAAAAATCCATAACGCAGTGGACAAAACGAATTTATATTAACCATAGTTTATTTTTATCAAATTATATTGTTTAAAATTGCAATTCACAGAGTGGTAAATGTATGCTCCCAGAAGCTTTAAATCATTGATGTTAACTCGATGTTGGTTATGTGAACTTATTTATAACTTGCTTCAAGAAACTCCAGCGAAATCAGCAAAAGTTTAAATTCGTTATAGTTGTTTGTAAAACTTAAATAAAACCAATAGTAATTTATTAATTATTAAATGAAATGAGAAAATACGGATGGAATGCGGTGAATAATGTAAATATATTTTATAGTTTGATAAATTAAAAATACAACAATTTTTATTTCTATAAATAAATTTACCCAGCGCATCCACCAATTTCATAGATCGGATGTTTTCGTAACCATAAAATATGATTTTTGTGTAGCTAAATGAGCATTATTTTAACGATAATCATGTATATATTGCGTTAAAAGTGTATAATTATTATTAAAGAAAACGTTAAATTATTGTATAAAATGATAAATGATTGAAATTTCGATTGGATTTGATTCTTGTGATAAATGATATTTTCTTTCTGTTTGAAATATAATAACTTACCACCACGTACTGGACAGACGGCAACCAAATTGCAATACTCGTCGCCCGGATCCCTGCAGCACTCAATAAGATCCGAGCACGTAGTTTCCGGAGTTACCGGAACATCTGTCGTCGATCCATCACCAAATACGCGAACGATCATCTAGAACAATTCAAGAAAAAATATAGTAATCAACATGCACAAACGCACAATTCTCAATCGCTTTCAACAATAAGTATACGGTATTTTTTGGATAACAAAATTGAAGAAAAAAATTAAAAATCTACGAAAATATAGTATTTTATTTGCAACTAAAAGCTTTTTGATTCATCGATGATTCTTCGTCTGAAGCCGCAAATTTGCCATTTTCTCAAGAGCTATTAATTAAAGTGCGTTTATTAAAAGATTGCTTTCTGTTTTCGTAAACGAAACCAGAAGCCCATTAAATGTCAAGCGCGTGCTGTAAATATAGTAATAAGATTGGGTGTACTTAAGCGTATACAAATCGGGGAATGAACGATGCCAAAGAAAACTCTTCACTTCTAATGGGCCTAAAATTTAAATACATTCACTTTACATATTTTTTATTTATGCACGTTTGCAAAATAATATATTCCTTTCATTTTGTAAAAGGTTTGATTCTAACACTTTTAAAATAATTTATTTCTGATACAGTATAAGTTCTAATTAACAATTTTTTTTATACAAATTGTTCTATCATTAATTTGTTCAATCAATTTTGAATTATCAAATATATAACACGAAGTTCGTAATTGCTTGCGATAATCGTTTTTCTATTGTACCATTTCCGTCTCGACTAGAAAAAATAGATATAAAAGATCTTTCCAGCATCATGTGTTTATGGCAATCAATATCTTTCTACCCTCTTACTGCGTTCAGTAAAGGCAAGTGCGAGGACACTAAGCAGCAATAATTGCTTCCTCCCTTTTTCTATCCAATTCAGCTAACGACTCTCGCGCGAATGAACGAACATTTCTATAACAACAAGACCCCTTGCAAAGTGTTCTCAATATTGTCACAGACCATTTCAGGCTGATTCCTTCAAATTGGTTTTACTGCATGGCTGGATTATTTGATACAGTTTTCAACTTTCCTCAGACCTACTTTCCACTTACAAACTAAATTAGACAACGAACTAAAACATTCCGACTAGATACAAAAAAAAAGTAATTATTGAGTTTACTCTAATTATTTTCTTAATTCATTTTATTTGTACTTCTATAATTATTTTTTAAATATGCAAATCTAATTTATCCAATTTTCTAATTGTAATTTATATGTTTCAAATGTATGTGAAAGTAAAATAAGAAATTATAGGAAAATATTTGTATAGACGTCGACTATATTGATATGCAACGAGCAGAACAAAAAGCTATTCAAACTAAGTGAGAAACAACAAAGGTGTGAAAGCGATTGTTTTCAGTTTAAAGATTTGTTTGTTTTGCGGTCGTTATCCGGCGGCTTCGTAGGTAGTCCGAGCTTGGAAGTACAAGGGCTGCAAAGTTTTCTAGTAATTAATAAACTTTGCAATCACAACTCGCTTTCGCCGGTCTAATTGGTTTCTCCTCAGAGATTATCTGCTCTCGCGTGTCGTCTGTGTCGTATCTAAATGTGAGACAGACACAAAGAGATTGCGTGGGCATATCTAAGGGATTGTACTTTGTACCTTCGATCTTACAAACGACGTTGCTTTAGGCACAAATTCGGTGATTTCGCACTGGATTTAACGAAAATTCAGCATTAATCATAAAGAGCTTAACGCAGTTTAACAATATATGCTTTCACACAGTAGGAACAAAAAAGAAATTGCGTTAACCCAAAAAGTACGTGTTGAATCTGAATATAATTATATCGTTTATACTGCAATGTATATAACACAAAAAGCGGAATAATAAATGATGTCAGGCCCTAATCCAGTGCATTAACTGCACGCGTTTAGGACGGTACACATTACATCTTCTTTTTGTGTTCTTTTTCCTGGGTTTTATTGTTCGCAGTTTCCGTCGTCATGTGCAGTTTATTGTGCATTTTTGGTCATAAAGCCGCGGCAGGGGCTTTCCCGTGTCAGCTGGCTGGCTGTATGCAATGCAAAAGGAATTAGTTGGTCGCTTTTTGAATTCCTCTCGCCGCTTTGTGAAATTTGCACATATCAAAAAAGGATTTGAACACGGCGGTACTGCGATTTAAGGATTTCATCGTGCACCCAGAGGGAATTTCAATATCCCATCGTCAAACGTACAAAAATGTTTGCGTGATTTTTGTAAATAAAATATTCCATTCTATAAACATCACAAGTAGAGTCACAAATAAATTGTAGGAAGAATTACTCGCGTAACAAGCGACTTTTCGCATAACGAGGAGAAGAGAAGTTCCGGATTGTGCGTCTGAAAATATCTTTATAGTTTTTTTTTTTAAATTGAAAATATCTTACAACAATTCTATTAATTCTCATTATTTTTTTTTTGAAATCGCTAGATATAATTGAAAGAAAACAATGTTTTGTTGTATTTCAAATAATATATTTTCACATATACAAAAATATACAATTGAATGTTATTTAAATGTGGTTAATGATTAATGGCCATGTCCATATGAAATAGCGCTGAAACTATTTCCTTTTCCAGAAGAGAATCCATTGCTAAAGCCATGACCACCTCCTTGTGAAAATCCATGTCCACTTCCAAATCCTACCAAACTGCCTCCAATTCCATGACCAGAACTTCCACCTCCAATACCGCTGCCGATTCCATGACCACCAAATCCTCCTCCAAGTCCGCCGCCGATGCTTCCACCGAATCCACCTCCGAATCCTCCTCCGATTCCAGCACCACCACCTCCTCCTCCACCGATGTTGACAATTTGTGGTACTGGTACTACAACAGTTTGAGGTACCCTAACTGGGACAGGTTGAGCAACAGTTACTGGATAAGGTTGTGGGACTGGTACACCGATGGGTTGTGGTACTGAAACTGGAACAGCTTGTGGAACTGGTACAGGTACTGGTCTGGAGACGGTGACTGGATATGGCCTTGGTACGATTACAGTTTGAGGTACTGGTACTGAAACTTGCACTGGACGAGGTACTGTGTATGGTACTTGAACTGGTACTGGTACAGCTACTGGTCGTGTAATGGTAACAGGATACGGTTGTGGTACAAGAACTGGAACTGCTTGATTAATGGTTGTAACAGTAGCACCTCCGCCGGCACCACCTCCTCCAGCTCCACCTCCGAAACCGCCTCCTATTCCACCGCCAAATCCTCCTCCAACACCACCTTCAAAACCTCCTCCATATCCTCCACTAATTCCACCATCAAAACCACCTCCTCCATGTCCTCCACTAATTCCACCATCAAATCCACCTCCTCCACTGATTCCATGACCATCATCAAATCCACCTCCGCCTCCTCCATACAATTCATAACCACCACTAATTACACCACGTTTCTGATGTTTCTTGTCCTCTGCATAACTGCAAGAGGCAGCGGCGAGAATTAAGATAAAAGTCTACGAAGTATAACATGTTAAAAATTACAAATTTATGAAATATCAACAAATACTTACCAAAGAGGAATTCATCACTATTGTATGAGATGTTAAACAAATGGAAGTGATGCTTTGCGTTTCATTGTTCAGGCTTTTATAGTCGTTCCACCACCTCTCTCTCTATATATATATAAATGGAAGGGATTTCTTCATTTTAAATAATATGCATTCCAACCGATTCGGAGGAATTCATATAAAAATTAATGAGAACGTGTAACAAACGAAGCGCAAACAAACTTCTTCTTCTGGGAGTATGTGCAATTATATATAAATCATGCTATATGCATATCTCGCCGCATATTTTTAATTTAATTTTAATTTGCAATTAATTTTGCAATAATAACGAAATCAATTCCGTTCTATATCTGAATGGTTTGGTTAATAATTTCTATAATATCTATATTGATTTTTGATTATATAAACACATCAAAACTGTGCATTAAATATCAAAATAATATAATTTTATTACTAGAGTTAAAGGTTCAAGTTACAATAACATTCATGGTCATAGTCATAATACTACAGCCAGGCGCGTCCACCAATAATAGTAAAAATTTATAGATTTAATATTTTCCTACATATGTTAGATCAGCGGTCTTTAAACTTCTTTGACTATAGAATTCTTCAAGAGATTCTTAATAACTATTAAAAAAATTGTAATAAATTACATAATCTCATGAATTATTAATCAACTTATTTAGATTATATAAGACTATTCATAATATCACATTTACAAATTCAATAAACAACTTCTTCCAAATGGAAAAGTAGATTTCAAGAATGAACAAGTTGTTTACAATATCAAATGATATTAGTGATATATATTCGATAACAACTAATACATTTAGTAATAAAATATGATTGATTGTTGAACGTTTCCTTAAAACCATTTCCTTTCCGCATTAGATAATCTGCAGGAATAACCGATTTGCAAAACGCAAATCTCCATCATATTTACGAAGTAATGCGTTTTCGTTCCCTCTTTTTTTACACCCTGAAACTTTTGGTATCAAGTTTGATAAGACCTGCGAACGGGGACGTCGATGTTGCTTTAAATGTAAAGCGCTTTTTGATCCGATGCTCATGTGCGAGGGGACTTCCAAGACCATCGCGGACGACACAACCCTTGTATCATCAGCCCCTATATTGCTGATTTCATGCGATTAAGTTAACGAGCGAGTGATACGATGGTCCGGAATTCATTACCACCCTCTCTATCTGTGTTACTAAATACACCCCAGTTGACTCCGAATATGTACATTAGGAAGTTTCCTTTCGGTCCTGTGCGCAAACCCGCACACTCAAACGTACGCATATAGATAGACGTGTATAATACGCACGCTTCCAACAAACATACGGTCAGGCTGTAATTGAATTCCGGAATAGAAGGAAAATGGCATCCCTAAACTCGTTTTCCAGCACCTTTTCTGATCGCCGTAAGTCTAATTAAATCTGAACAACTCAAATAGAGGGTCACGGACTTTCAGCAACTGAAATTAATCAAGATTACATTTACATTAGTTCAGCCCAATTAAGCCCAATTTATTCATTCAAGATATTTATTTTATGAAGAGAATAATTAATTAATACGTATT